GGAGGCCATCGCTAATAGGTGGGAGGCCATCGCTGCTCTTAGGTTGGAGGCCATTGCTATTAGGAGAGAGGTGCGACAAAAGAAGAAAAAAACACATAAAAACACCTGTCTCGACTGGCTAAGTACGGGCCATTGTTCGTGCCGGCCTTCACGCTGTTCGACGGATCCATCTCCCGCAGCTGTTGTTTCATCTCCTGCGGGAGCGCTGTTCGCCGTGACCGGCGACCGGCGGCGATCCGGTGTGTCACATGCGACCGACATGCCACCGACGTCGATGTCGTCTGAGATGAAGGCCTAGACTGAAGGCCGAGTGACTCACAAATTGGTGGAAACCTTTTGGGTCTGAGATTCATGAAGACATTGGATTCAAGGGAGCCGCTGTTGAGAGAAGATACTACCGATACCCATATACTATCTTGGAAGAATCCCCTCTTGTGACGAAATGCCTCATTATTTATCCTGCACTTGTTGAGTCTCTCAATGAAGAGTCACACCTTTGGAAGCAAAGACAAACAACCACCCTCCAGGATGCCCGGATTCGCTGGTCCAGTCTTCATCACGATTTCGCGGATCTTTCTTCAAGACTCTGTGCAATGATCAATATGCGCGCAACGCACCCCAACACAGGAAATTCATTTGTTTCGAATTCAACCTGATGGTTTTGACTGGTTCAGAACCAGTCAACACCAGTCAAAACCATCGAATTCGAACAACATGAACACTCAACTCCCAAAGCACCACGGCTGTGCCAAAACCGAGCGTGGCCGCCGAGCCGGCACACGCCCGGTCGGCTGGGGCTCGCGGCGCGTTCGCCGGGAGCGTTCTTCTCGTTGAGTCACAGCCAGTCGGCTAGGTCGATCCCAACTCAAATCAAGACTCGAATCGGTGCGCAGGGACGATGCACGCAGAGCACACCAGTCCCCGACCGCAAGAGCACGAGATGCCGGGGGCGTGCCGCCGAATCCAGAAACTCCGAGAGCCGGGCGCAATCAGGTCGTGGTTTGGCCATTTCCACCGAAGGGATCCAGTCGTACCTCCTCAAGTTTGGTACGACTGGACCCTCCTGGCACCCAGTCCCACGTACGACTGGATCCTTAGGGAAAGTAAGACCCCTCACTGCACCCAGTGGTTTCCAAGCGGAGGAACAGTTGCTGCAAGAACAGCAAAGCAACTTGTCTCGCTCCATGTGGCGCTCAATTCACGTTTTCTCGGTCTGCTCGGTCTGGCGCAAAAACACCTTCTGGTCTGCGGCAAGTCGGAGGTGGGTTGCCATATGGTGCCACTGTTGGGTCTTCTGTGTGATTTTCTTCACCCAACTTCATTCCATCCATTCCATCCGTCCTGGTTCTCGCGTTGAAGGCTCATGACCTGACGGGGCGTCTCCGTCCGTCGCGTCTCCGTGAGAGAGAGAGAGAGAGAGCAAACTGAAAGGAAAGATTGAAATTAAAACATGGACATGGATGGAAACCCAAGGAACGCCAAAGGAACAGGTCAGATATGGAACCATGAATCAAGCATTTATATAGTTTGGCCATCGTTACACATGGATCCTTTGGAATAGGTGTTCAGTGGATGCCACCGTACCGTTCTTTGATCATCCCAAGCAGTTCACATCCCAAAGCCGTACGATCCCGCTTCCGGTGAGCGAATGCACTCGTTGTTGATCCAGTGGATCGGGAACCGTTTGGGATCCGGCCCTTGGCTGTCTTGCGCTTTGATTGGGGAGCTCTTTGGGAGTTTCTTTCTGACATGTCACATGCTGAAGGGTTCCTGTCTGCCGCCAAAGACTTTCGCCTCTACACAAGTATCAGGGAATGGCAAAGGGCAATCGTCCAGATTGTCCCCAAAGTGGAGGTTTATATACTTCAGAACTCGTCCCCTTATGGAAAGACTTCTTCGGTGCCGGTCATGCCGGTCGCTCCTTTTTCAGAGAACTTGTAGCAAGTCATGATATGGGACCCTGCCATTAAAGAACCTAATAGCGATGGCCTCCAACCTAGTAGCGATGGCCTCCAACCTAAGAGCGATTGCCTCTCCCCAAATGAGCAATTCAATGCAATTCATATATTTATATGAACTGCATTCCCTGAATCAACCAGGTGCCATAAGTCCGGGGGGGCCAAAGCTTCACCAAGTGATGCGATGATGTGATGGACCAAATCGGCGACCCCGGTCGGTGTCCAGTCCGACGGACGCCCCACCGTCCAGTCCGTCGGGACTCGGGCGGTCAGCGCCGCGCCGCGCCTCTTCATGAAGCCTCCGGTAATGCGCTTCCACGTCCTGCAAGGTCTGCCTCGGCGTCTTTGGCTCCATCACATCCACCGGCGATTGGACGTTCGTGGAGACGCCCAGGCTGTTGGGGAGACGTTCGTGGTATACCGGTAAATGAACGGGCCAACACCCCTGGGGGGCCTGATCAGCACTGGTTTTGACACCCTAGGGTGTTTGATCCTGGAAGGAAGAAGAAGGCGTTCCAACCTTAGCATCGCAGGGATTGGATCCAGAGCTGTTTCGATGTGTTCAGTGCGTCATACGATGTCCGACCCCAAAATCATCACCGACCACAGCACCGTGGTGCACACGTGCATGTGGCTGCTTTCAAACGAAGCAAACGAATATCCAGAAAGCTTTCCCCACAGGACTCAATCAAACGTTACCACACCCGTGCGACCAGCAGGATCACCCGAATTGTCGACTCTTCCTCCTGAATTATTTGATCAAACCGACGGATGATCCACCTTTGTTCGGCGCACAGTCTAAACATTCGCCACAGAGTGAAATGGTTCGGCCCCCTGCTACCCAGCTCTTTGTGGTGGAATCACTTTTGACCTTTTCTCGATCGCTCGAACGCTCCACTGGACCAAACCCGGCGCCGGCGCTCCATCGTCATTTCGTCTAGCTGGTCCCCATAGGCGAAAACCACGAACGTCGGCGTCGGCGTAGAGTGGCCGAGCGTGGCTTCACTCTGGATCTCATTCACCCCCATAGCCATAGAACCTTCCAAGTTTCGTTTTTGCTCTGAACAAGCTGATTCGCTTTCTAGCCTCAACCACAGAGGTCGCTTGCTCGCGCAAGCTTCTGTCAGTGCAACCACCAAATCACTCCAAAATGGTGGGCAACCCACCCTCACGGAGTGTTTTAGACCTCTTCCATAGCACAGGTGGGTGCTTCACCAGCAAAGCTTCAACCAAAAAACCACCGTTTCACGCGCAACGCGTCGTTGCGTCGCCGCCGCGTTTCGGAGAGCCGGAACCGCCACGCCGCCAAGCTGCTGGAACGCCAAAGGCAACGCCATGAGCCTCCCCCAGCGAAGAGGGGACTGGTGGGCAGTGCGTGAGTTCTTTTCTCAAAGAAAGCCGGAGCTTAGAAACAAGTGCATCGCTTCTAGTAACAAGTGCCTTACTAGTAGTAACAAGGACGCTACTAGGAACAAGTGCTTTACTACTAGGAGCAAGGACGCTACTAGTAACAGGAAGCCTTCGGGCCAAAAACACACCCTGGAAGGTTCGGTGACGTATGTGGATGTCACACCGCTGATAGGTTGGAGGCCATCGCAAATAGGTTGGAGGCCTTCGCAAATAGGTTGCTCTTAAGGTTGGCGGCCATCGCTGATAGGTTGGAGGCCTTAGC